TGTGTGTGTGTGTGTGTGTGTGTGTGTGTGTGTGTGTGTGTGTGTGTGTGTGTGTGTGTGTGTGTGTGTGTGTGTGTATGTGTGTGTGTGTGTTAGCGCTCTTGCCCTGAGGGGGTGCTGCAGAAAGGGTCTTGGCATGCAGCAAATCCAACGCACTCTGATTCTTCTTATTTTTCTTCTCAGCAGCTGGAGTAGCTTTCTTGGGTCGACCACGTTTCTTATTGTTCAGCTTGCGACCTTTGGCCAGGAGTCGCGTTCTTCTCGGTTTAGCGGAGGGCTTGACCACAGTCACCAAGCTAGGACGCTCCTCTTCACCACAGGAGTCCTGCTTTATTACACAAAGAGATAACAGTCACATAGAGAACACAGAGACCTGTCTCACAACGCTGACCAGCTTGTCCGGGTTTAATTCTCATTCTTGTACCTTGTTTGGTTCCTTGGGTTTTGTAGGCGTGGTACTATTGCTTTTACTGTCCTTCGTGTCCTTCTGCTGACGTCTTCTAGCTGCCTCTTGCTCCTCCTAACAGAAGATGAATCAATTTACTAGTCTGATCCAAAAAATGTAGTAAATACAGGGACTGTCAACACACTGAAGAAGAAGACTCACCCTGAGTTTAGGATTTTTGAGACTAGCAAAGTAGTTTTCAAGCTGGAAGATGAGAAAAAGGAAAATGTGGGTATTAGATTAAGAGTTCTTATTTACACGTTTGTAACAACACTTAAAGAATCAGGTGCATGCTCGTTTCACAGTTCTGACTGAAAAAAGCAAACGCACTAAATAATAAAATTTAGTACAATCGGTACATAAGATGTGTTTTGTGTCATCGCCAAATAAAACTTCATAAAGAGTGAGACGGAGAGGGCAAACGGCATCAGGTGGTGACAAGAAACACATCTGCATAATGAGACTGTCACAAGCATTTTCCAGGCAGCCTGCCAGTTTTCTCACTGGGATTTCAACAGGTAACCAGGGATGACTTTCACCAGTTACTGGAATGACACATATGTCACGGTAATCTAATAAGCACATGTCTGCCTGTGAAACCTCAGATTGCTTACTCTCAAGATACACTACTCATTAAGATGATACCAGCTGTTATTATGGCAGCTTATCTCTTGAGTTTAGGTTACGGTTCGTCTCTAATGGATAATTTATTTGTGTTGCTTTAGTAGTCAATTATTTTTTTATTGAGCTGACGAGATCCTCTCTGTTAGGATTTCACGTGTGGGCGCCTGGGACCACTTCCTCTCATTACAGAGACAAAGAGAAGCATGGGTGCTTACTATGGTGCGGTCTATGGTATGCAGGTAGTAGGAAACTGGCTTTCCAGTCCAGGAAACAGAGCCTCTGAGTGGAGAAAGCTCCACCACACGCATAATTGTGCCAATATCTGCAGGACAGAAGGGAAGAATATCACACGGAAGTCTAATTGAGCCTTAAATATTATTTATTTTTTAAATAAATTGGGTGCTTACCACTCAAGTTTCGACTGTTGATTCTGAAGTTTAAAGGTGCAAAGGGTTTGGAGGATACAATTTTCCCTCCTGGGGAAATAGAAAAACAAATGCACAAACATTCTTTACATGTGTTGTACACACCACAGCTTTTTCAGCTCATTACTTGATGCACGCATGGTAATTTACACAATCACTTTAACTATCTATGGATGGATCTCATGAGCCAATTTTAGCTTAATTAACAATGAGAACAGCTGAAGAATTAATCACTACCAACACTACAAAAACATGATGCTTTATATAAACAAAACACTACATGAACCTGCTTTTCAAACTGCTTTTCTATCTTTGATTAAGTTTCTCTAGTTTTCAATAAAGGGTCTCAATTCAGTTTTGCTGGGAAATTTGAAAATACCAAATTAACAGAGAGCAGACTGTAGAGATTAAAGAAAAAGTGGACACATCTCCTCAAATGATTTTTAAAAGAATGCTCTGATCCAAACATGACATACAAAAAGTGGTGGGTCTGAATATAATGCAGAAATTGTATGTTTGTGACTTTGAAGCTGAAACATTGTTGACTCTATAGAACACAAATTCATCAATGTGCCTAACAGACCGTCAGTGCAACATAATTTATGCTCAATTTTTCTGATAATTCTGATCAGAATTTAAGTGATGATCTATATATTTTCCAATTTAAGAGCCTTGTGTATGTCTGAGTGTTTTTTAACTGAAAGATAAATAACGCAGATGTTTTCAAGTACAAACAAGTAATGAGTAAGTAGTGTAGTTATTAGCTGAAAAGTACTAACCTTCCTTCATGTTAGCAAAGCGCTCCTTCAGCTGGTGATCTACCTCTGGACCAAAGGCAAAGTTATTCACAAAAATAATACTGGAAAACAGACAAGAGGAAATACTTCACAGTTCAATTCACAGTAAAAATGGTTACCTCAGGATGTAATGAATGACAAAAACAGTTAAGGAGGCGATTTTCTGATTATATTTTGATTAGATTCAGATTCTAAACGGCCTTATTTGCAGAAAAGCATAAATGAAGATTTTGTCTTTCAGTCTGTCACGGTGATCAGGCTTTGTACACCACCTTGTGTTGGCGATTCTTTCTTTCCATTCTTCAGACAGAAAATCACCTCTTTCCAGCTGAAACAAATTGTACGGTTATGGAAAAAGTCCTGAACACCTGTGAATCTACAGAGCACCTGAATTTGTTTCTTCTGAACGTGTGCGCAATGAAAGTGCAACTTGTGTCACACAAGAACCAACTTACTGTGTACTCCCCGTGTTTCTTCCCATACCATTTCATCCATTTTTTAAACTCTTTATCCATGGTCTGAAACAAAGAACAGAAACAATATCAGAACACTTGATACGAAAATTCAAGTTTTTAAAAGTCAAAATTATGATAAAGCGAGAGTTGTGGAGGCATTTCTAGAAAGAGAGGAAGTAAACAAATAGCCCCCAGTTAAAGTTTGGATACTGGTTTCTAAAAAATGCCCTTTCAGTTACCAGAATGACTTGAGCATGAGTTTCACACTTATGATTAAAACTAAGATTTTGAGTTGAATTTCCGCCCAGTCGGGAGACAATAATTCAAAGCAGGGATGTTTATCTGAAGCTTGGGCACTACTCACCAGTCTGTTACCTGCTCTATAGTCAAACCGGCACTGATTGCAGTCAGACACTACAGTCACATTATGATAGAGCTGCTGGAAGTTTGAAGACCGCTTAAGGTTCAATCCAGCTGTGTCAGACATTTACAATCTTAATTGAACTCAGTTTAGTGCTTTAGTGCAAGTGTGGAACAGGTATATGCACCTTGTTTGGTGCAGCGTGACAGGGCAAAAAAAATGCTAACAAAGAAACCAGTTTGAAGGCTGATCTGAAGAGGAAATAAACAGCAGGTGCTCTTTCTGCTAGACTACGCTCTAGTTTACAGCTGTCTATAGTAATCTTTGGCTTTTCACTAAAACAAATCTAAACGCAGTGATTTTCAACCCCGCGCTGCTGGGTCTGTATATCTGTTATGTGAGATAATGGAGTTACCTCTGCATAGGTAGCTGGAATGTCTGCTTTCTCTACACCGTAGTAGTGTTTACAGTTGGTTGCTGCTGCAACCTGCAGCACCACCTGCCCTACTCCTGCAAATATGAAACAATTTCTTTAAAAATACATAAACACACCAAAGCTGCCAGACTTGCTATTTATGCTGGAGTTCTGAATCTTACAATTTCAGACATTTTCATAGTTCTTAATTAGCATTTTTATCCAAGTAACCCCAAACACACTTTACTGGAGTACTTTTAAGAAACAAAGACAAACTTCAGGTGCTTCTACTAAGTGGTTAGTATAGAATGAAATGTATAACAGCAAACTAACCACTGCCAAGGTCAACAAAGGTGTCTTCTTCCATCATTTCCATTTCATCAATAATCTGGGCCACCAGGTCGAAAGAGGTCTCTCCGTACACCTCGGGGGAGAAGGGTTCATAGTTGTTGAGCTTCTCTGGGTCGGTCACTGAGTGGTTATACACCTGCTGTAAGATATGTCTCAGCAGCCCATTGGAAGGACGCTTGTTTAGCTTCATGGGCTGGGTTGTCCCTTTCCACTGTAAAACAGGATTTGCATCAATTACATAGCGCCCCCAGAGAGTGCACTCCATCCCTTTTTATACCTTTTAGGAGTTTTCAGACTCATTGTAAACGGTATCATCTTAACGTATTTAATTATTTTTCACAATTAACCTCCACACATGATAATGACAAAGCAAATACAGGCTTTTTGAGTGGTTTGTACAACTGTTAAAAATAAAAGACTAAAATATCCCATTTCAATAAATATGTGAAGCATTCACTTAATACTTTTGCAAAAAAAATAAATAAATAAAAGCCTCAATTCTTTTGGGAAAGATCCCACAAGGTTGGCAAACCTGTCCTTTAGATTTTTCTCTATTTTTAATGGTACAGTTATTTGAGCTTAATCCCGGTGGATGGCAAGTATCAGTGAACATTTTACGTTTCTGTTTGTTTTATGTAGTTTCGGTAAAAGCAAAGGATGCACATCCACCATTTTTTAATCGAATAATAAATTTGATAAAATGCTTCTCTGCACTTTGACACTGACATAAAAAATACATTATTGAAAAATATGTTCAGCTGCCTTTCTAAGGGGTTACGAGTCCCATGGACAGGATCCAGCTTGGCTGACTTTGACCACAAGTGCTGAGAATAAACCTTGCTCTTCTCAATGAGCAGCTCCTCCTCACAGGTGGTTTCAACTGCCAAAAAACAGCTACCATAGCCTATGTCAGTCCAAGTTAGTGGCGTTGGAGTACGATGGGGGAAGAGACTACTTGAAGAGGCAGAAAAATGATTTTAAGGGCCGCCAGAAAGGCACCCTGGTCTGCATGTTGGCAAGCAAAGATAAGACAGGAAAGGCCCGGGCTAGTTAAATAGCAGAGACTACAGTTTACTAGTTTTTACTCTAATATTCATCAGCAGCTGTAAGACCTTACACATACACATATCACATTTATGACCAGCTGATTTAATTAGCCCTGTGTTAGCCTTAAGATGGGCTTGTGAGGGTATATACTCTGACTTCTACCTTTCAACAGCTGGAATAGGCTCCAGCTCTCGAGGAATAAGTTGTATGGACAGATGATTTAATTAGTGCCAGGTAGACTCCAGACAATCTTTAGAAGTTCCTAAGTGATCTCTGAGAAAAGTAGCATGCACCAGAAATCAATAGCAAAAGGTCTGAATACCTGTGTAAGTGGACTATTTCTTTAATTACTGCAGTGGAATGTAGATAAGACAGCACACTAAAGAGTTCTTACCAAAATCCAATAACTGAAGGACAAAGATAGACCACCTTAGAGAACACTGGCTCTGATATCCTACTATAAATACTCAAAACCAGAATAAACAGTTAGGGAAAATGATTCACAAAGGGCACAGATTCAAAAGAACCAGGTTTGTGACTAATGTGCAGCCTTCTCCTACAAAACAGCAAGGAACTTTTCACATATGGACTCACCAGCTGATGAATGCTGTCAATGGCCCTGTTGTACTTGTCACAAAGTCTCTGCATGCTCTCAAAGCTGGGAGAGAAAGGCAACACATATAAAATATGATCTCTATAATTTAAGTAATAACAGCACATTTCTGAGTGAAATAATACAGCTCACATGGGTTAACCCTAACTATCATGCCCTAATTTGTTATCATGGCTGGGTAAAATTAATCAAGTCTTTAAATCTGACTCATAAACTAACTAAACTAATTATCAGAGACATCAATCTAACCTTCTGTCTGACTCACAGACTTTGATTTTACAGATACTGATGACATTATTTTACCTCTTGGTGTCATAGTCAATGAGTACATAATTTTCCATTGCCAGTTTGAGGTCTGGGATTTCCTCACACACCCACCTATTAAATAAACAAACATAAAATCACTACTAAATCAGGTCTTTGACAGTCATGTGCATGTAGGAGTATCGCAGGATGGAAACATCGCTTACCGAATGGTCTCGATGATTTCATGAGCAGCATCATGGTGTTTATCCTTAAAAGGGAGGGAGAAAATATTACAAAAACCACACCAAGAATAAAACATTTCACTCAGCAGCACCACAAATTACAGCTTTTAGATGTCCTTAAACTCCAAACACGACCACTCAAAACCAGTCTAAACAAAACCTCAACACTGCTGAAGCCATGATAGTTTTAGAAGACTGATGTTTAAGTGGGGTGTATCTAATAAACTGACAGCTGAAAATAAAATACTCTAAACTGTCTTCACATCTGACCTTAAAATACCACAGCTCAGTAAATCATAGGTCAAAACACTAAGACAATCTCATCAACTGGCAATCATGGGAGGGAAGAACTCCCTTTTAGCAGAAAAAAACTGTCAGAATCAGGCTCAGGTAGGAACAAACACCTACAGCGACCAGAGGGAGTGTGAGGGGAAAGAGAAGACAAATATTTAAACGGTAAATGGACTGAGTCTTATATGGCGCTTTTCTACGCCGGGAATACTCAAATACTAAAATAATACTCAAATATTACTCTATACAACATGCCACATTCACCCATTCACACAAGTACTGTCATCTATGCTGTTAAGTGCTTACTACCACTCACTCATTCATACCCTGACACATGCATCAGAGAGGAACTTGGGGTTAATATCTTGCCCAAGGATATTTACGGCGAGCCAGGGATCAAACCACCAACATTCCGATCAGTAGATGACCTGCTCTACCTTCCTGAGTTACAGCCATTTACCACACTGAGTATTGTCGTAGTGATCATAAAAAGAAGGAGGAAGTTCCTCAGATGGTTCAAGGTCACCTGATTTAAGCTACATTAAACATTTTATGATGCAGCCTAAATCAGGCCTAATTTCAGAAGCACAGAGTCTCTGTCTCCTGAACCCAAAATGTTAGCTGGTTCCACAGTAGAAGGACATGATAGGATGAAAGGTGGTGCTACATGTAGGCAAATTGCTGACTGGCTGAAAAGCAGGCCTGAACAGGAAAAAAGAGTGAATGGACTGGTACTCATATAGTGCTTTTGTACTGTGCACTTTTTACTACAAAGCTCCTTCACCCATTCCCACACACATTCATACAACATCTAATCACACTGATCGAAGCACTGGGTAAACACACGACGCCAGTATCTTGCACAAGGATGTTTCAACATGCAGCCAGAGATTGAACCACGAACCATCTTGCTGACAGATGACCTGTCCTATCGCCTGAGCCACTACCACCACCACTCAGTTTTTGATTGTTTGGGAGATTCTGAATGTGCATTAGGAGGATTATGTGAATGCCATTGCAGAGAAACAGGGGTATTGCTTCATCACAGTAGCTAACCGCAGGGAAAAACTCCTGATATGTTTATGGGGAAATAATCAGTTTAACAGCTTGCTGAGCCAGTATTGTACTGAGCATGCATTTTGTGTTAGTATAAACAAGATGTGTGTAAATATATGGTCTGGCGATGTGCGTATGCAATGAAATGCTGATTAGCCATGGGCACATGCTGCTTATGTTAATTAGCCACGAGGAACTGTTCTTGTTATTAATGCATATTAGTCTGGAGAACGGTGTAATGTTTAATGTTCAGAGTTTCCTTTAACCAAATCATGATCCTGTGTGCAACCCTGCAGCAAATGCATTTATAGCCCCTAAACATATTTTATGACTCATGAGTCTTTTGCTGCATTAGCTCTGCAACGGATTGTGTAACAGACCCTGGAAAGGTCGGATTACCTGCTGAGCGACAGTGCCTGTTAAAACAGCATTTCCAAATCCAGCAGGAATGTTAATGAAACCGTTTTCTATTAAAAAAAAGACATCGAGTGGAGGGAAAGTAAATATGACATGCACACTAATATGTGTGAAGGTAAGGTATAAAACTGCTGGATGGGAGTTTTGATCATTATAAATATAATTAAAGAGAAATTACAACAAAGAAGAAGAGAAAGAGATACTGTTCAGGGCTCACAAAATCGCTAGCCCGATGTCCCGGAGCTAGCGATATCTCCTGTCGGGCGACCAAAATCTATCTCAGCCCCGCCCGTCGGGTTATCATATAGCCTGACGGGCGAGGCTGAGATAGATTTTGGTCGCCCGACAGGAGATATCGCTAGCTCCGGGACATCGGGCTAGCGATTTTGTGAGCCCTGCGTGTTGATTGCTCTCTTATTTCCTGAGGGTGTCTCCACAGCAGATGGATCTGCATGTTTGATTTGACAAGATTTTACGCCAGATGCCCTTCCTGACGAAACCCCTGCCTTTGAGATCATTAGTAAGAGTACAGCAGCTTGTGACCCCTTAAGGCCGGGTTTGTGTCTCCTCCCAGGACTGAACCAGGGATATTTCACATGTAAGGCAAATGTCCTAAACATTTCACCACAGAGCCACAAAAAGACCTTATAAAGAAATTATTTGAATCTTATTACCCAGTTAACGTGTGTTTAAAATAAATTAGTATATGTATCTGTCTTAATGTACTGTTCTAAGATGAGTTTTTATGAATTTCAATAACATCTGTTTGAGATGTTAATGCAGACTGTATGTGTCTATTTGAATGTATATAGGAACTTGAAAAAAAATAGCTGATGCCAATGGGAACCCTAATGAAACTGGAGAGGCTGAAGCTATGCTCATGCTACATCCCGTGTCTCTGAAAATCACCCTAAGTTGGTCAGAAGCAAACTTGAATAAGATAAAAATCTATTGTATTTTACACATGCAGGGAAATTATATTCATTAATTTTAGCAGGAGTGCCTGAGCAGCTCTCTGTGAGTAACAGGACTCAAGTTGCATCCAGCACACAGGCTGCCTAAGCCTGTTGCCTGAGCTGACCCACTGACCCACTTTCCGTCTCCTGCTTTGCCAAAGAGAGCCTCTGCTGGAGAGAAAGAAAAGAAAGAAAGTAGAAAGGGGAAAAAAAAGAAATCTGAAGGTGAAAGAGGACAAAGGCAGGGAAAGTGAAAGCGAGAAGCGAAAAAAGAACTGTGAAAGGAAAGGGGGGCCTGAGAGAGGAGGAGAGCCTGCTATTTGTCAGCTGTTTGAGGCCTGGCACAGCAGCATGAGCTAACGGCTCTCAGCTCTCAGCCCACAGCTTCCAGCTTCCCGCTCAATACTACCCGCCAATACTACGCAAACTTCCGCCAAAACTAAAACATCCATGCGCACACCCTGAAAGAACCATGGCTAGACAGGAGATCTGTTAGCGGAGCACAGCAGTTAACCACATTATGGAGCTAACTGTTAATGATAATGAGCTACAAATCTTCCTAAAACACACATGAGCAAAGCACTGTGTAGCTCTTAATATGGAAGCTATACAGAGTATGAAGTGAGCGAATCAGATGCAGCAGGGGGAGGTCACCTGCTCACACAAAGACGGCACACAGCAACACCAGTAGAGAGCTGCTGCTAAAAATAAACGCCGTCTGAAAGCTAGACTCAGACAAAAAGAACAGAGGACCCTCCTCTCCTCCCCATTGTGGGTTCAAGTGACGCACGTACTACTCCTCCTCTCCACGCTACCTCTCCTCACAGATGCACCGTGGGTGTAGGGGTTTTACCCAAAACACTGCTCAACTATCTACACCGCAACACCCAATGAGAACAAATGACCAAAGTCAGGCTTTGTATAGAAATGTGAATACATTTTATTTATCAAATGGCAAAAAAGTAGTAAGATGAAAGAGCCTTTTTGTTTTAGCTATATCGAGACTAATCAAGCTTATTTATACCTCCATTTATGCACATAAGAATTATGCTCAGTCACCACTGATTTTGTAACAAAGAAGATCAAACAGACATGAGTCAGATGTCAGTATTAGCATTTACTGCATAAGAGCACAAGAGATTAGAGCTACAAATTTCTATGACCAATCTTTATCTGTTGTGTCACAACAATTTTGTGCTGGCTAAATACTCAGATGGTGCGACAAAGAGCTGAAAAGCTTTAAAACAGCTTGGTCATTTTTTAAATGAAATTTGTTTTTGTTTTCCCAGCACAAAAGGGCCAATGAATAAAAGCTACTTTAGTCTGCTCCCTTATTCACAAGGGGTTGCCACAGCAGGTAGCTCCACATGTTTGATTTAGCAGTTGGTTTATGCCGGACACCCTTCCTGGCACAATTCTAAAGGCATCGGTGTCTCCTCCGAGAATCAAACTGGTGATCTTTCACTTATTAGGCAAATGTCTAAACCACTACAAAAAGGGCGATGAATTAGAAATAAAATAAAAACTGGTGCCAATACTCCTCACTAGTATAGACAGCATAACAGTTGGACATAGCCACCTCGATGTCATCCACTGGTTTGTGAAGTCCTGCTATGAAGCCTCCAGCTGAGCTTTTTCACCGTCGCCATCTTAGTGTTTTGAAGCCAGATGTGACGAGCAAGAGGTGGATATGACTAATCCTTGATATCCTCATAGCTTATCATGGCCCTTTCTGACTAAATCATTTTTTATAAATTAGGCTCAAAATTAATCAGTTGAAACTAGACACTGAGGCCATCAGTCTGATCAGCACAGTGTGTACCGAGCTTCTCAATGAAGAAGGAACCTATTTCTTCCAATCTTTTCTGGTATTTTTGCAACCAGACTTAGCCCCCTGGTGTTACAAAGAACACAGGCTTAAGGCACTCTAGCATCACACTTTAGACAAGGCAGGCATGTCCATCTTTGATAACATCTGTGGATATCAGCCAAACTCGTAATAATGATATCAGTGGTGATACAGAATTAAACAATCCACACATTCCTACTGATCATACACCAAAAGTACTTAAAACACCAGCGTATCTCTTAAAAGTGTTGTGTGGGGCTGCTTAGTACCAATACCTAGAACCAGATGGATAAAGAGCTGCACCACACCAGAGGTGCTCTTCATATGGAAGCATTTACAGATGCACAGATGTGGGGATTTAGTGAGCAAACAGCAGATGAAAGACTAAACAAAAGAGATCAGAGAACATCTTCTTTGCATTTTTTCTATTGGCTTGGTTCACTAAAGGCACAACTTACACATCAAAAGCCTGTAGCACCATGTTGTGTCTATCATACACAGATAGCAATGTGCTCGTGCTCTGTAGGTGTGATAAGCAATCCTAATGTGGTGCAATGTAGGAGTGAAGAGTAAATGGAGTGGGATCTGCTGTTACCACCAAAAAGTTCAACAAAGGGAAAACACAATGAGTTTTAAACGTGACTGGGAACACATACTGGTATGTGAATTCTAATAATACAGCATTGCTGAACAGGAGCAGGCTCATAGCTTCCTCCCTGCAGACTTGACCATATGGACAAGAGAGGAAGGGAGAGGAGAGGGGAAGTGTTTCCCCCTTTGAAAACAGGAGGAGAGCACCGCATGAATGGGCTCCATATCACACAACTCCACATGCATCAGCTGTTTCTAATTCAACACATGACAGTATAAATAGCTCACGCAGCCCAATGATGTATTAAATTCCTGACATGTTTGTCCTCCTGTTTATCTTTGCAGACCATAACATAAGGAAATGGGAGGAAGGGAGGGAGGAACTGTGAGTGTTATCAGAGTCTGGCATAGTGCAAAAAGGGAGGGTCAGCTCTGTCAGGCAAAGCAGGGAGGGAGTGCCTGATTGCATCGACAAGCAACTCTGACTCAACAGAGACTGAAACGGGTGATGGGACAAACACACTATGATGGAAGTGAAATAACCAGACTGACAGACACAGTGCAGCGTGGGGGTGGGGGAAAGCGCCACAAAGAGACCCCACACACGCATTCTCATAAACTCCGCTATCTTCTCACCGCAATTACTATAAATGAGAAAGATAGTTCAAACTAACTACACACCACTGAAAAGGACCACAGAACTTACAACCGCTTCCCCTTCCGCTTATACTGAATGAGTCAACTGCAGGCACTGACGTGCTGACAGCTACATGGAAATAAAATTAAGAGAAGAGAGAGAAACGTGTCTCTACCAGGCATGATTGCTATCACTGCACAGAGCAGACTGACTGATAGGGGTAGTGGGTCCACCTCATGTACAGAGTTAACCCGAGCAAACACAAGTCAGCTGCTCTCGCTCCTAAAACTATGCTGGGATAACACACATACACACACAGAAGGCACTCTAGGAATGCCAACACTGCTATTCAGATGTGTACAGACAGGAGTTCAAAAACCTACTGTGTAACCATCGGAGATATGGTGTGGTCTATGTGAGCAGGGAAAAAAATGTTCGGCCATAAAATAAGTTAGGGACAGACTAACAAAACGGTGGTCCAATTTCAAAACAACCTCCGATCAGTGGCTGTCATTGTTAGTTTTACTAGCTACGGTCAAATGTGCCCTAGGATCTAAGTGTCTACAGTATGACAAGGAAAGAACGGATTGAAATAATCCAGGTATGCCATCAGCCATGGCAGAAGGCTGATACAGCACGTCTGTCACCATCCCAACCAGTATGACCCGATTCTCCGGACGAGCGTGCCACGGCTCTTTCTGCTAGCTAGAGTTAGCGCACAGCTAACGCGGCTAACAAAGACTAAAACAAAAGGCAAAGCTTAAAAGCTACAAAAATTAAGTTTTAAAGTTTAACACTTACATATACTGGTAACGGCCATGGATACCCAGCGGGTTCTGCTCCAACCGGCGATTTGAGCTTGAGCTCCAGCTTTTCTCCCATCCTACACTTCACGGCGGCTTGGCTGTGGTGGATAGCTAGCTAGTAACTGCTCTCTGTTAGCCAGCTGGTCGGTTAGCGAGCGACTTACAACGAGAACATTTTGTAAGAAAAACGTTCAAACGCGTAAAATTAAAAAAGACGTCGACGCTGGTTACGTGGCATACACACTCACGATGCGTTCAAGTGTATAACTGGATATGACTCGCTGTTCTATTTTAAATAAAATGTCTTTTTTATGCCCACTGGCAATAACACCGATTCCGTATCGCCGCCATCTTGCCCGGCATGAATACTTATGGCAAGGGGCCACTGGCAGCGGAGGGGACGCAGACGTCACTGAGCCAGCTCACGAGCAAGCCACCCCTTCCCAAGCTGCGTGAGAACACCGATAACATCACGACTTTTTTCCATATTAACGCAGGAATATTTACGCAGAGCCGGCAGATACATGATAAATGATAACAGTTCGTTTTAATATAAACGCTAAAAACACATTCGACTCTGATTCTCAACATAATACACTTTTATTTACCCATAAATTATAAATATAAATTATAGCTCTAAGTAAATTAAATATAACGCAAATAACAATGCAACGAGTACTAATAAACACATTCTGTTTTACACAGCATAATTAAGGACACGTTTTTATGTACTAGGTGTTGTTATAGAAAGTTTATATACAAATTCAATATAAAACATTGGAAATTAGACCTAAATATTATTTTACCAGCCTTTAATTCAATTCAATTCAATTTTATTTATACAGCGCCAAATCACAACAACAGTCGCCTCAAGGCGCTTTATATTGTAAGATAGATCCTACAATAACACAGACAGAGAAAAATTCAACAGTCATGTGACCCCGTATGAGCAAGCACTGGGGCACAGTGGGAAGGAAAAACCTCCCTTTTAACCGGAAGAAGCTGGCTCTTACACATATCCCTGAGGTACACCAACTGTAAAATGCAGTTTTCTCATTTCCTAAGAACAGCTAGAAATGTGTAGGGTTGTATTTTGGAATCTGTATCGAACTCAAAGAGCTTTCCAACTGTTTCTCTGTCTATACTCAGGGACTCTGTCACCCAGTGCTGATGTTTTGGAATTTTAATTAGGTCTTTACTACTACTACTACTACTACTACTAATAATAATAATAATAATAATAATAATAACAACAACTTTTCTTTTGTTATCATTATCTATTTGAAGACTACCCCTGTTAGTTAATTTGAGCACAGATCTGTAGCTGACTATAGGCAGGAACAGAGATGTGCAAACACATGCATTATCAGCAGCCCAGAGTCTGGATCAAAGGCCTAAATGAAAAACTCTATCAGTACAATATTTACCAAAGATTGCTGTTGTTCACAAGACTTACAGCTTTGCCCAGGAGCCTCAAACATCTGCATGTAAAGACTTTAAACGGCCCGAGGAATTTCATTTATATTTTAAAACTAGTAAGTCGGTTGGCTGGAAAACAGTTTTATAGAACAAAACCAGCTGTTTGATATGTATGACGGAAATACAGAAATATTTCTTAAGGAAGTTCTTCAGTATTTATGCAGGCAAGTATCTACCTACCTATGGCTCTTTATAAAACAGTTGTTTATACACTTCTGTGCACTTGCAAAACAGTTAAACATGGATATGATGTGTAAGAAACTGGGCACATCTCATTCAAAATCGATGGTGTAGTTGGCAAGCTAATTATAGTAAAATTGTTTTTTACTTTATGTGTGACGTGTCCACAGTGAGTGATGATTTATAATGGACTGTGGTTGAGGAAGGGTTGGGTTACTACCCGGTCAAGTCACCATATAATTTTCATAATCTGTGTGCCTGTCTTTTTGTTCCCATGCAGCACAATGTTTGCTGAAAAACAATACAATGCACTGAAGGATGTGCAGAAGCATCTATGCTACTGTAGTCATGTGGACTGAGGGCGGTTATGGGAGAGACATTTATACTTTCATGGGTTATGTTGCTGTATTTTTTATTGAATGAGAAATTACATGTGAGGATAAGTGGATGAGCGAGTACACAGTTTAAACAATAGATAGAGCGAAGAGAGAAATAACCTCAGCTCATTCACAGAAAAGTTGTCTGATTCAGCTCAACAGAGCCAGCATTGTTTACAAGAAGGTTCAGTCATCTATAGCCTGAATGTGAACCGAGACTGTAGTTCAAATTTCTGGCCTTTAGCCACAAAACTGCACCGTACCAGATAGACTGACAGGCTATGGTATCTTGATTTTGAAAGCATTAGATCCAAGAAAAATAGCTATGACTGGTGAAGTGGGATGTTTCTATTATACTCAAAGAAGTCATATATTACCATATAAATGGGAATGTGTCTGCCTGGTGCTAGACGTCTCTTTTGCCAACTGATGATGAGGATGCAGCATCTGGATGGAGATCAGCAATGAAGGAAGAAACCTCCTGATATTAGAAATGACCCTGAAGGTCAGGCAGTCGATATGAAGCAGAAACCCGTCCATAATAGAGGAGAAGACGCAGCAAGCTGCCAGTTTGGCTGGTGCTGCAGAATGAATAAGAGATAATCAAGATGGTAAACTCCCAGGTCAAAGAGCACTCAAGAGAGTATTATGGGGAAACTAGCTTTCCCTGGTGGATTCTGTGGTTAAGACAAAAAAAATAAAAAATAAAAACAATAGAAATTTCAGTGAGACGAATGCAGCTGGTCAAAGCTTGAAGGCTTAGCAGATGTTTATCGCTGCTTCACGTTCGCCTGTTTTGTCTGAGACCATTTGCACTAACCCTCTCATGTATCTGAGAGATGAGACTTTTCACACCTATGTCAGAGCAGACTTATAGTGCCAACTTTGAGGAACCACTGATGCATTTTAAAAATGCAACTGTCATCACACACATCAGCTGCTAAAATCAGCAATGTTTCAGCCAACTTAGGTGTGAAGACTTTCCTAAACAAACATTCAGCTAATGGTAAAGCAGCTGGTTTGTTTTTAGAATCCTCATTAGCATGAGCTTTATCTGTAGCTATTATAAGTGTCCGTATACTTAAAGGAAACCAATTATGCTCATTTTTAAACCTCATATTTTCATTCCTGGACTCTGTATGCTCCTTATTTATCTTAGCAGCCCCTCAATCCACCCAGAGTAACCAGCGGTTACCATTTGAGGGCTCCGAGTCCACCCACTGTCAGAAATAAACTGTTCTAGCTGCTCCGTTTTTAAGGTCAACCACCCTTCTTCTGTTTGGCTGCACTTTTTAAACAAAAGAAATAAACACCGAGTGGGTGGGGCTTCCTCTGCTCACCTGGTTCTATTAAATTCAATATAATTTTATTTATACAGCACCAAATCACAACAACAGTCACCTCAAGGCGCTTTATATTGTAAGGTAGACCCTACAATGATACATACAGAGAAAAACCCAACAATCATATGAACCCCTATGAGCAAGCACTTTGGCGACAGTGAGAAGGAAAAACTCCCTTTTAACAGGAAGAAACCTCCGGCAGAACCAGGCTCAGGGAGGGGCGGCCATCTGCTGCGACCAGTTGGGGTGAGAAAAGGAAGGCAGGATAAAAGATGACTCAATGACATCACACAGAGGGCAGAAAAAGCTGGTCAGAGCAGTGTGACGGTGGAACTGCTGGCTCACATGAATTATCCGTCTTTGAAATTCTGGCCCCCTCTAATATTAACATCCACCACTGCATAATAAAGCCTTTTAAATTCATCGATTATGCCATGCCCTCGAGTTTAATGCCAATTACCTTCAATAAGAGTCAGCCCTTTATTTCAACTACGGCCTACATTTTCACATGAAAGCACTAGCTCGCTCTGTTAGCACAGAATCTGAATAGAAGCAGATCCCTCTGCAGTTTTCAGCACAGAGAGAGAGGGGAGGGGAGACCTCTGTGTGTAAACATGTTTGTGTATATGCTGCTGTATGTTGAGGAGAGGGGGAGATGGCAGCTTGCCACAGTGAACTCTCTGACCAGCCCCCCTCCCCTCCAGCTCCCTCAGCAGCTCTGAGGCCAGCTTCGGGATGAGAGCCATGCGCAGCGAGGCTCAGGCACAGCTCAGCCCAGCCAACTGGAACGCAGTCGCTATGTAGATTTCTGGGATCTTTCACAGTGTGTCAGATTACAGCGAGCCTCGTCCTGCGCTGCCTGGCTGGAGCATCCTCTGCTCACGCTGCCATGCCAAGGCCTTTTTGGGATCCACGTTTAAGTGTCAGCAAACACACATTCACAAATTATAAGAGGATGCCAATTAGACACAAGACGCACGTAGACTACAAAGTGGAAGCTTTTAACTACTTCCCCTTGCAACCAAATGGATCCCCGAGGGTGTCGCTGAACACACGTAAGGGTTTACCGACGAAGAGAAACAAAGAAATCTGGGACACCGCATGGATCTAAATATTTCTAGTTAATCTGCTGCCTTCATGGACAAAGGCGAGGCATGCCAGGACTGTGTGGAGGCTGGGGAACCCAACAGTGTGAGGCTGCTGCCATCCAAAGGATAGCTGCTGTATTACAAACCAGTCGATTCAGTAATTGTTACCAAAAATAAATAAATAAATAAATAAAAAATTAATGATTTCCTTAATTAGAGAAAGTGCTTCAGTAATTTGAACTTCCACAAACATGTTTGAAAGCTTTAAAAATAAATAAAATTAAAAAAAATGACTTCATCATCTGTATGATTAAATATTCCTGACCCCATGTGGAAACAGCAGGAAATGTAGCACCATTACAATAAAGGGCAACAACAACGGATTCAGAATTTCACAAATAAAGATTTGAAAGAATTTTATTATTGAAACAAAGATCATCTCAGTCCCAGTCCCTTATGGTTTTCAAAAAGCGTGCTTTGGGTTTTAGCGCCAACATTTCATGACTCTCCTCCAAAGCCCTCTTTGCTTATACAGCAGCATGTATATACTGAAGGGAAAAGGAAAAGGGGAAGAAAAAAACAAAACCTATACAAACAGATCATTTTGGCACAATCAACTCGTACATGGTAATCCTGTGCTGGCATATTATTACCAGTTTGCTCTCCATTGGATCAAAATATCTTTCATTGATAAACTCATTCACGATGGATTTTGACCAGAGAGGGAAATACAGTAATCATGTCTGAATCTTTGTAGAAAACAAGGTACAGTAAGAGTGACTGAAAGTCTTTGTTAAAAGGTGTAACGCTCGGTGTTGCAGAGTGTTGATACCAGTAACAAAACATTCCTCCTCACAGACTTCCGAGTCCCAGATCCAGCCTCGGTCTGAACCCGGCAGCATTTCTAAGTTCTGAACTTCATGTAGTGTTTGCATTAGGAGCAAGATGAAAATCTG